TCAGTACTAGGGGATAATCCATGATCAACATAGACTACATAGAGAGCTCTGACTAAGTCCTTCATCAGGTCTGTAGTTGTGAATCAGTACTAGGGGATAATCCATGATCAACATAGACTACATAGAGAGCTCTGACTAAGTCCTTCTTCAGGCCTGTAGTTGTGAATCAATACTAGAGGATAATCCATGATCAACATAGACTACATAGAGAGCTCTGACTAAGTCCTTCATCAGGTCTGTAGTTATGAATCAATACTAGGGCATAATCCATGATCGATATAGACTACATGGAGAGTTCTAACTATGTCCTTCTTCAGGTCTGTAGTTGTGAATCAGTACTAGGGGATAATTTACAATCAACATAAGCTGTGGAGAGAGCCTTGACTGTGTTAAAAATTCATATCATCCACAGTTAACAAAAAACACCACTTAACATCTTGAGGCCTATTCACACTGTCAATTTGATTTATGTTTGTGTTACTTAATATTAAAAAAACAACAAGTTTGTTTGTTATTGTATCTTTAATGTTAATGACAATGATAAGAAATGGCTTAATTTGCTTTAGTTAGAAATGTATTCCAGATGTGTGTATGTACACACCAATCTTATCAATTCTGTGATTGTTGACAGTTTATGAACCAGAAGTATGCTGTATGTAGAAGAAATCAAAATCTGTTTGTGTGTTTCATTTAGGGGGAAGGTTTTGATGTTATGAAATCAGGTGATGCTCGGGTGGCACTTATTGGGTTTCCATCTGTTGGGAAGGTAAGAAAACTGTTATGTTTAAATAAATAATTAGTGTGAAAATAGTTGTTGTTGCATTTATGAAGGGAAAACTAAACTTGCAATGTAGTTAATTTGGTCTTTGAAATGATATTATAGTGACAGTTTGGGAATAATTTAAATAGATGATTTTTTGGTTGAAATTATTTTTTAGCACATAATATTTATTTTAAAAGTTAGCACTACTTATAAAGTGTGTATTAGTCTTGTTGCACTACTCATAATTAATATGTTAGTCTTGTTACCTTACTTGTAAATCATATGTTAGTCATGTTGTATTTTTGTAATTTGTATGTTGGCCATGTTGCATCACTTATAATTTGTTTGTTAGTCATGTTGCATTACTTAAGTTGTATGTTAGTGATGTTTGTAAAGATATTTTAATTGAATGTGTGAAACATCTGTTAGCATGTATTCTTCTCTCTCTATAGTCTACTCTACTGAACACACTAACAGACACCCACAGTGAGTCAGCATCATATGAATTTACAACACTGACCTGTATTCCTGGAGTTATTCAGGTTAGTAACATGAATAAAGATGTGAACAAATCAGTTTCTAGAACTTTGCTACTTAGTTATTAACACCTTTAAGAAATGTGTAAAGTCTGTTATATGTTTTAGATATGTAGAAATCTTATTAGATGTAAAGTTACCACAGAGAAGCTGTGATACAGAAAACTCTGGTTGGGCATGAAGTCTGCAACAGAGAAGACATGTTTTCTTTTATGTATTAAGCTTTGATTAGTTCTGAAGTTATTACAGAAAAGCCATGTTTTTTTTCTATATGCCTAAAACATGGCTTTTCTGTAATAACTTCAGAACTAATCAAAGCTTAATACATAAAAGCTGAAATTGAATCTGAAGTCTGTCACAGAGAAGCCATGTTTTAGATATGTATAAAACTCTGATTAGTTCTGAAGTTACTTTAGAAAAGCTGTATTTTAGACATATAGAAAACTCTGATTAAGTGTGAAGTCTGTCACCTGCAGTCACTGTTACTTGGAGGTCTTTTCTGTGGATGCCTCTCATACACTCTTCCACTGCACTTATGTCTTCCTCTACCTGACCAGTCTTTATTTCCTAAAACTTCTGCTGCTTGGGAAGGAAATGGTACTTTCTCTCCTATCTCCCTTCCTTCTGTCTCTCACCTCTATGATCATTCAGATCCGGATCAGTTCCTGTGTCCTGTTCCGGCAGTTCAGTTTACTTTTCATGGATTTCTCCCTTTTGGGGTCTATGCCATCATCTGTTCTTACCCTGGGATCCTTTTTTTTTCCTGTGACCTCTCTCCTTCTACCCTTACTGGATGGGTCCTTCAACTCCTCTGGTAAGTATATTCTTCCCTGGATATGGATGCTCCCAGGCTATTTCACATCAGATTTGTCACCTTTCTTACTCTCTCATTTCCCACCTTCTCTGGCCCTTAGATGAGATTCTCCAGGCAGGCATGTGGACAACTTTCCACATGTTTGTTACTCATTATCTTCATCAACTGACTGTTTCATATCCTGCAGGATTTCAGCTTCACCCAGTTGCCATTCTTCAATCTATTTTTTTCTTCCCCTCCCTTCTGTAAAACAGGATTCTGCCAGTTGGCTGGTGTTGCCTCTCAAGGTGTGCTTATTTCCCAAAATCTGCATTTCATCAGGATGACTGAAAGTATTCAGCTTATGTGCTCTGGCTCTACCAGTTCCCACTACAAGATGGGGTGTTCCATAAGAAGACCACAAGAGATATCTTCATGGTGTACAAATTTACTCAGACCATACCAATTCTATGGACTATCATGGAAAAAGTCACCACCATGGAAGTAACTGCCCACTCCTTTGGCTCACACTTGCTAGCTTTTAAAAATAGGGTTTCATGGTTGCTTATTACACTTTCTCCAGTAAAAGATGTTTCTGGCTGGTGGTGTGATGGGAACCGAGGCACTTTTCTGGGTCTCCCAACAAAATCACCCCCCCTCTTCAAAGGAAGCATGGGAGATCCTTGCTACCTACTTGTTCCTAGCCACTGGGGTGGTGGACAATGAAGAATCCTCACTGGTTATATTTAGCAAAATAAGGTGAGAAGTAGGGTGGTGGTGACACTGTCAGTGTAAAATTGGTCACCCCTCACACAGCTAATTTGCCTTCCTCCTGCATCCAAAGTCTGTTCAGTAGTACACACCATATGGTCTGATCGTGCTCTAACCACACTACACCTCTTAGCTCACTGACCGTTTATGTGCAGGTGTTCAGTTGGTCTTGATCATATTCCACCCATTTCAGTGACACTTAGGCTATTTCTCCTTTCCCCCTGTTCATCTTGTGTGAAGAGTATACCTTGGTCAAGTTGAGATGTGGTCTCCCACAGGTGTCCTTTCCCCCGTTCATCTTGTGTGAAGAGTATACCTTGGTCAAGTTGAGATGTGGTCTCCCACAGGTGTCCTTTCCCTCCTTTTCATCTTGTGTGAAGAGTATACCTTGGTCAAGTTGAGATGTGGTCTCCCACACGTGTCCTTCCCCCCCCCTTTCATCTTGTGTGAAGAGTATACCTTGGTCAAGTTGAGATGTGGTCTCCCACAGGTGTGTCACTGTGGTGCTCTTGCCATCAGATGTCACACTTCATGGAATTTCTCACCAGGCACTTTCTGAAGGGAGCTCATATAAGTTTAACCTTTGCACTGACCCTTCCACCACTTTAAAATGGGATTCTAACATTTCTGTGTTAAGAGGTGAGTTATTGTCTCGGAGGTTAACATTTTCCTAATCTGAAAATGTATTTCCAATAGATACTCACTTCTTCACACATTCCCACCTATCCCCCCCCCTTTCTGGTGCACCTTTTTTTTTCTTGCCTTGTTCAATGCATGATCACACAGAAGCCTTGTTTTAGATATTTCGATAGCTCTGATTGAATGTAAAGTGTACCACACAAAATCCATATTTACAAAGAGAAGTAAGAATGTGAGATAAATGAAGGTCACCTGCCCCTTAGAAAGCACAATATACATGTCCAACAGAAGTTTAAACAGAATTAAAGAAAAGTGCACCATCAGGTAAACCATTTCAAAATATTTTATCGTTCATTGAAGATCTGCACCAAATATCAAACAAGACTTCTAAAGATTCCATAATTTAAACATTCCTATTTCATTTCTAGTTTACCTCAAATGGGCATAAAAGCTTAATAATTTAATATATATGAAATTTTATAAAATATTCTAGTAGTGTCTAAAGGTTAAATCAGTGTTTTTGTCAGTATGATTTTACATTAGCAAACATAAGCATAGGTCAATCAACTATTTGTAGTAAAATTAACCATACTTAGGATTTCATTAGTTTTGGTTTTCATTTGTTGCCATTGAAATTATATTCTAGCTAAAGTGAGTTGCTAGTTATTTTTTCTGTTTAGCATCATTAGAAGTACCGTTTTCTAGTATTTTGAAGTATCTGTAGAACTGCAGTATTTTTGTGTTTGAAATGTCCAAACTCTTGTTTTACCTAAACAACTGGAAAGTCAGATGTAACTTAATAACAACATGTGCTCTCTAGACTTACAACATCATTAATATTTTTCTCAGTTTTGTTTTCTTCAATTCCATTGGCAGTACACCAGTTACAGTTTTCTACTAGAACAAGGGATTGTGTAATCCATTAAAATCGTGTACTTGTTACATTTTTAAAATACTGTGATGATTGGGTTCTGTATTCTCCATAAAATTTCTTTTTTTGGTGCATGATCCTAAAATGAATGATTGATTAACTTCTGCACTGCTGCACATTTCTGTAGATTTGATGTTTTTTTTTTCCTGTTCAACACAGTATGAAGGTGCCAACATACAACTGCTAGATTTACCTGGAATCATAGAAGGTGCTTCTCAAGGTAAGTCATTCACAAAGATAGAGTTTTAGATGTGATTAGTTGTTCTTATATATATTATATTCTGTTAATGAAGAATATAATTGTTGTATATTGTAGCCTGTTTACAGCTTTACTGATTGTTTAGTTTGAGTGGGACCAGTGTAAGATGTTTAAAGCTTTACTGATTGTTTAGTTTGAGTGAGACCAGTGTAAGATGTTTACAGCTTTACTGATTGTTTAGTTTGAGTGGGACCAGTGTAAGATGTTTACATCTTTACTGATTGTTTAGTTTGAGTGAGACCAGCGTAAGATGTTTACAGCATCACTGTTTAATTAGTTTGAGTGGGACCAGTGTAACATGTTTACAGCTTTACTGTTTAATTAGTTTGAGTGGGAACAGTATGATGTTTACAGCTTTACTGTTTAATTAGTTTGAGTGGGAACAGTATGATGTTTACAGCTTTACTGTTTAATTAGTTTGAATGGGAGCAGTCTAAGATATTTACAGCTTTACTGTTTAATTAGTTTGAGTGGGAACAGTCTAATATGTTTACAGCTTTACTGTTTAATTAGTTTGAATGGGAACAGTCTAATATGTTTACAGCTTTACTGTTTAATTAGTTTGAGTGGGAACAGTCTATGATGTTTACATTTTTACTGTTTAATTAGTTTGAGTGGGAACAGTATGATGTTTACAGCTTTACTGTTTAATTAGTTTGAGTGGGACCAGTGTAAGATGTTTAAAGCTTTACTGATTGTTTAGTTTGAGTGAGACCAGTGTAAGATGTTTACAGCTTTACTGATTGTTTAGTTTGAGTGGGACCAATGTAAGATGTTTAAAGCTTTACTGATTGTTTAGTTTGAGTGGGACCAGCGTAAGATGTTTACAGCATCACTGTTTAATTAGTTTGAGTGGGACCAGTCTAAGATGTTTACAGATTTAATTGTCGTTAAGAAAACTTTGTGATAGGTAATTATAAAGTGGTATACGTTGCATGTGAACTTGTAGTTTGTAAAATAAATAGAGGAACACTGGTTAGATGTTACAAGTGTAAGTGAACAGCTTGAGTTTATGTAGTTAGTTTATCAGAACTTTAAGTAAACAACTTCAATCTTAAGTATTAATACTTGATATTTAAACACTTTTTGTATAGGAAAGGGTCGAGGACGTCAAGTAATTGCAGTAGCACGCACGGCTGATTTGGTGCTAATGATGTTGGATGCTACCAAAGGTGAAATCCAAAGGTTGGATTCATGTTTTTTTTATATTCTTACTAAAGATTGTTATGATATAACATATTACAAAGAAATAAAATAGATAAAGTAAAATGTTAACCTATGTGTTACTAAATACTCACTGAAGTTACTTAATAAAATAAATAAATTCAAATGTTAACCTATGTGTTACTAAATAGTCACTAAAGTTACTTAATAAGATAAAGAAAGTAAAATGCTAACCTATGTGTTACTAAATACTTACTGAAGTTACTTAATAAAATAAAGTAAAATGTTAACCTATGTGTTACTAAATACTCACTAAAGTTACTTAATAAAATAAAGTGTTAACCTATGTGTTACTAAATACTCACTGAAGTTACCTAATAAAATAAAGTAAAATGTTAACCTATGTGTTGCTAAATACTCACTAAAGTTACTTAAAGTGAGTATTTAGTAACACATAGGTTAACATTTTACTTTATTTTAAAAGTTACCTAATAAAATAAATAAATTCAAATGTTAACCTATGTGTTACTAAATACTCACTAAAGTTACTTAATAAAATAAATAAAGTAAAATGTTAACCTATGTGTTACTAAATACTTACTGAAGTTACTTAATAAAATAAAGTAAAATGCTAACCTATGTGTTACTAAATACTTACTGAAGTTACCTGATAAAATAAACAAAGTCTTAAGCCTATTCTGTTATGTATTTTGTTAGATAATAGCAACTTTTGTGTTTCCAATACATAAAGTCCTCAACCTGTTCTTGTATGTATTTTGTTACATAATATCTACTCGTATGTTTCCATTTCATAAAGTATTCAGCCTGTTCTGGTATGTATTTCGTTCAATAATATTAACTTGTATGTTTCCATTTCATAAAGTACTCAGCCTGTTATGGTATGGATTTTGTTCGATAATATCAACTTGTATGTTTCCATTTCATAAAGTACTCAGCCTGTTATAGTATGGATTTTGTTAGATAATATCAACTTGTATGTTTCCATTTCATAGAGTACTCAGCCTGTTATAGTATGGATTTTGTTCGATAATATCAACTTGTATGTTTCCATTTCATAAAGTACTCAGCCTGTTATGGTATGGACTTTATTAGATAATATCAACTTGTATGTTTCCAGATATGTATATAAAGATCTCAGCTTGTTGTGGTATTGGTTTTGTAACAC